CGAAGTGAAATTCATCGTCACTCCTGCGAAATAAGTGTATCTGACGTTTGTATTCAAATGACTCTATATTTATCTTACCATTCCGTTTTGTATAAAGTTCTCAGACCATTACAGCACCCTTGCATTACAAAAAGCGATAAAATTGTTTTTCATTTTCCCTTAACAGACAGCATCACAATGTGGGTGAAAGCTTTTGTACTATACTTACATTAATTGTTGTAACACAAAAGACTTTTTTGAAGAGAAGTGTTTATGTTTATTTGTGGAACATTTTCTCGGCCTCTTTAATTGCTGTTAATTCTCTTACAATTATTTTTCTCATGTCCTTGATAACATACGTTCCAACTGAGCTGTTAAGAAAATGCTCTCAATTCTGTTAGCGTTATGTTATACCCATCACTGTAATAATCTCAACACACAACATCGATACTCTCTGGGAAGGATTGGATGTGGAACTAATTTTAAATGAGAGACGAAAAGAGTATATTTAGAATTCAAGAGAAAAAGAAATATTTCCAATGCCATAAAACTTCGGGTAGCTAATACTGAAGCGAAACCCCCGCAATTACTAACAAGATTTACTAATGTTATCAGCATGATGGAAAACAATCATTTAAATGAGTATTTAAATTAAAAAAAAAAAAAAAAAACAGTAAGGAAAAGTCGGTCGGGCCAACTATATGATACCCTTTTGATTTATTTGAGGTAGATCATACCTCCTATCAACATTTGACTTTAGAGCAGTTATAGATTGGTTTTAGAGGGAACTAATATATTCTGAATCGATTTTCACTAAAAATGTCATTGCTATAGAATGCATGATATTACTTCGAGAAGGATTCTATAAAAAATATATAACGGATCCGAGTTCCAAGAAAATAGAAACGTACTTTCCGAAATTCACTCCATTTGGTCTGATATTAGTCATTATTTGTACAATAAACCTGAAATCGTATTAAGGGTATATATGGGAGCAATATCGAAATCTGAACCGATGTGAGGGACTTAAACACCAAATCGGATGAAACATATATATGGGACCTATAGCTATATCTGAACCGATTTTCTCCGCATTCGATGCACTTGCTTCTAGACAGATTTCGGTTGGATGTACCAATATTCAGGACTTTTGGACTGATTTGATTACACAATTAATCCGAAATCGGTTGGGGATATATATATGAGAGCTATATCCAAATCTGTACCGATCTTGACAAAATTTACACTTATTTCAGAGCTGTATGTGATATCTGGTACCAAAGATCATTGTTGTGGAATGCATATTACGCTTGTGAGGGACATTGAACCCCAAATCGGATAAAACATATATATGGGAGCTATAGCTATATCTGAACAGATTTACACCAAATTTGAAGTACTGGTTTGTAGGATGAATTCAGTCGTTATTGCCAAAATTCAGTTCATTTAGGCTGATATTAGCCATTTGGTCCACAAGAAACCTGATATCGGATAAAGGTATATATGGGAGCTATATACAAATCTGATTCGATCTCAATAAAATTTGAAAGAGGTATTTCTGAGCTGTATCTGGTATCTGGTACCAAATATCATTCAGGAGGCGGTGGGAATATTACGAATTTGAGGGACTTAAAAACCACATCGAAAGAAATATATATATATGGGAGCTATAGCTATATCAGAACATATTTTCACCAAATTTGCTGTAATTGCTTCTATGCTGAATTCCGTTGGTAGTGCCAAATTTATTTTTGTTACCATTCAGCTTGATAGCCACCAAGATAAAATGCTGATGTAAGGCTTTTAGAATATAATTCAGGCATGGCTGTAAGCGACAGAAGTAATTCATTGACATATTAAAATTCCAGCCCTTCAAACATGTCACAAATAAAGATTTTGTACAACATGGGTTCTTCAAGGGAGCTCTGAAGTTCTCCTGCCAGTACAGGTCAGCGACTGGATAGTATCTCGCCCTCCCTAACCAGGTGGAGTCTATAAGTTGGAAAACTACCTACGCCTCTTAAAGTTTGCTTATCGAAACCCAACTGTTGAATGTTAAACAATAATCCTTTATGTCATACCGTACGAAGTCCAATTGCAATAGTTCCTGACACCACATAGGATGAGAACGCAATTTGGGCATGGACAGTGATAGACCTGCTCTGAACACTAACTGATTGTCCTTCAACACCCTTTTATCTCCTGGCACTTAATGAATCCTCTATAAAATGAAATACTCTGAGACTTTACCAAAGGCCGATAAAAGTGATTTGGCCTATATTTGCTGCATTACCCTGGCGGTGAACAACGCTTATATATGGGCTTCAGAATAACCTTTTCCATGCCTGCTAAAATAATCCACGTTTGGACAGCGAATGAATCACATTTGACAATTTGTTTATCCGTAGCGGCTGATGGACGATCGAATTATTGGTTCTCATTGGCGATCGGGTTATTGTTGTCGGCTGATAAACGAAAGTTGTCCTGACTTTGCAGGAAAAATTAAGAAATTCTCGCAGCTGTTTTGGAAAATTTCAGCAGGAAGGCTTAGAGTTGCGGCCATAATAGGTAAATAATTTATAAAGGATTTTTTGAACTTTTAAATATTTCTTCTTTTCAGCGATGAGAGAAAATCAGTTTAAAACAGAAAAGTCGGACAAAAAGCAGAGGTTAAGAAGAAAATAGCGAATGTAACAATTAATTTTTATGTATATTTTCTTTTATCTTTATATACCCTTCACCATAGTATGGAGGGTATATCAAGTTTGTCATTCCGTTAGTAACACCTTGATATAATAATGTCCGTCCTCTCTAGCTTCCGAACAAAATGAAGTATGTTGATAAAAATTTACTCAAATGTGTATTATGTCTGCAGGAATTTTAGTATTGAAATTGGGCTATAAAGGTCCACGTCTTCGTATAGCCTCCATATAACTTTACCCACCGATATTCGGTATTTTGATGATTTTAGCGACATTATTTACCGAAATTGTTTCAAATTTGGTATTTGAAGTTCGTAATGGATACTACAGCATATGACAGGAGATTGTCTGTGCAGGTCTTCGTATAGCGCCCATATAACGGTACCTCCCGATATTCGGTATTTCGACGATTTTAGCAACAATATTCATCGGAATTATTTCAAATTTAGTATCTGAAGTTCGAAATGAATACTACAGCCTAAGACAGAAAATTGTCTGTGCAGGTCCACGTCATGGTATAGCCCCATATAACGGTACCTCTCGATATTCGGTATTTTGTCGATTTTAGGTACAATATTCATCGGAATTGTTTCAAATTTTGTATTTGATGTTCGTAATGGATGCTACAGCCTATGACAGGAGGTTGTTTGTGCAGGTCCACGTCTTCGTACAGCCCTCATTTTACGGTACCTTGCGATATTCGGAATTTTGATGATTTTAGCGACAATATTCATCGGAATTCTATCAAATTTGCTATTTGAAGTTCGAAATGGATACTACAGCCTAAAACAGAAAATTGCCTGTGCAGGTCCAGGTCTTCGTATAGGCCCAATATAACGATACCTCAAGATATTCGTTATTTTAATGATTTTAGCGACATTATACACCGGAATTGTTTCATATTTGGTATTTGAAGTTCGAAATGGATGCTACAACCTAACACAGAAAATTGTCTGTGCAGGTCCACGTCTTCGTATAGCTCTGATATAACGATACCTCCCGATATTCGGTATTTTGATGATTTTAGCGACATTATTCATCGGAATTCTTTCAAATTTGGTATTTAAAATTCGTAATGGATACTACAGCCTAAGACAGAAAATTTTCAACGCAGGTCTACGTCCTCGTATAGCCCCCATATAACGGTACCTCCCAATATTCGGTATTTTGATGACTTTACCGTCATTATTTAAAGAAGTAGTTTCAAATTACGTATTTAGACTTCGTAATGGGAACTACAGTCTGTGACAGGAAATTGTGAATGCAGGTCTAGGTGTTCGTATAGGTCCCATATATCAGTACCTCCCTGTATTTGGTGTTTTGACGATTTAACCTACAATACTCACCAAAATTTTTTGAGATGTCGTATTTGAAGTTCGTAATGGATACCACATCCTGTGACAGAAAATTGTCTATGCAGGTCCAGGTCTTCGAATAGCTACGCTATAACGGTACTTCCCTACATACTGTATTTTGATGATTTTAGCTACATTATTCACCGTTTATTTCATGTTTCAAATTTGAATATGGTAACGCCTTAAGACAAACAATGCCTATGTAGGTCCATGTCGTATTGACCCCAATATAACGGCTATATTCGCTATTTTTAAGATTTTAACAGAATTTTTAACGGATTTTATTTTTTGAAAATTTCCAATTTCGTTCCAAATGGTGGAGGGTATTCGAAGTTCGGTCCGGACGAACTTACTGCTTTTTAACTTGTTAATTTCTATAAAATACATTACGTATAAATTGAAAGAACTTTTCTGAACAATTTAGCTAGTTATGAAATTCCTGTAAATTGTAGAACATTTTCAAAAATAATCTCTGGAACTAATGTCTTCAAATGGCCCCTCATTGTCTATTGACTCACTATATGTAATGTCTTCATATGTCTGCACTTGGTAGTAATTCTATATTCACATTTCCAAGGTCCATCGACTTTCACCAAATAGTAAATTAGGTAAAAGGTGAGAATCCTTCATTAACTATTGCAGCCATCGAACTCTACACCGCGATGATTGTCAAATAATGTGATTACTAATAATTGCAATGATTCGAAAGATCTTTGTCAATAAGTTATAATGACGTTATAACAATATTGATTGAAAATACGGTTAAATCGACTTTTAATAGCGAAAATATTGAATATAAATTACCAGACCCAATGACGACTATTATTAAACATAATTCGTGATGCGAAATTTCCTAAATTTAATTTGTATTTTCAAGAATTTCTCAAATGCATATGATTTATTTTTAATTGATAGAAAGGCTGTATAATAAACTTCACAACAAGCTCATGGATCAGTTGCAACCATGAACTACCTTTGGATACTTTTGCTTTTGGCATTTTACATCCAACTAAACAGCTCCGCAGTACGATTTACAAACCTAAAATGTGAAACCATTCATCCCGACTTTGTTTCATATGAAGTATGCAGTCTGAGAGTAATTACCCGAGGTGTTATTGGCCTAAGTATTTATGCCAAGATGTGGCAACTACCCGTTAATAATATTTCGGTAACAAAACTAATAATTATTTGATTTGATTCTAAAAAGTTATTTTAACTTTCCATTTCTCTAACTTTCAGATCAATTTGAGTCTCTTTAAGAAACTGAATGGCTACAGACCCTTTCTTTACAATTTCAGTGTAGATATGTGTAAGTTTTTCAAAAATCCCAAGAAGTATCCTTTTGTTCAGCTATACCATCGTATTATTGTAAATGAGTCAAATATAAATCATACTTGTCCTTACAATGTAAGTACTTATTTGTGAGTATGGAGTTGCAGCAAAATTAAATAGTTCTATTGCATTTCTTTCAGCACGACTTAATTGTGAAGGATGTGTTTCTAGATGAAAGCAAATTTAAAAATTTACCATTGCCCCGTGGTGAATATCGTTTCGATTTGAAAGTTAGTGCCTATAATGATTTGAAAGGAGAAATTAAAGCTTATATTGATATTAGCAGAGATTTGTGACATAAGTGATTTTTGTATATCAATAATTGTAAATAAAATATATAACGTATTTTATTATATTTTTTTGTTCGTACTTATATAAGCAAATATTGGAATAATAACATTATCGATATTATAATACAATTTTTACAATAAATAGTAGTAATTACATGTAAAAAAGCTGTAAGTTCAGCCGGGCCGAACTTTGAATACTCTCTACCATTTGGTACAAATTTGGCAATTTTCAAAACAAAAAAAAATACCGAATGTAGCCGTATACTAGTGTCGACGTGGACCTACATAGGCAACTTTTGTCACAAGCTATTACAATATTCAAATGCGAAACTTGAAAAAAAAAATCTGTTTATAATGTAGCTAAAATCATCAAAATACCGAATATAGGGAGGTACCATGGGGGTTATAAAACGTGGACCTGCACAGACAATTTTCTGTCATAAGCTGTAGTATCCAATATGAACTTCTAATACAGAATAGAACAGTGTTTGGCTTGCTTGTTTGGGATACCATAGTATTTTGTTGTTGCAAAATCGTCAGGCAAAATCCCATTATTGTTGTTTTTATAAAAACAACGTTTGTTTATGAGTGGAGAACGATGGTAATGTTTACCAGGGGGTAAGGCAGGGAATACCTAGGTTTCGGAAAGAGCCACCAATCCTCATCAGTTCCCTTGTTTCTTGTCTGGGATATTCTCCCCAGAAGTTATTTTAAAAATAACTTCTATGACAAAAAACATTTTTTACCCAAGTGACGAGATCGTAAGCTCAATAGAAGAGGAACAAAAGAATTACATAAAACTAAAATTCTTTTGGAAAATCTTCTAAATCTTACAACCGCACTTATAAACATTTACATCTTTCTCCACTTTGTTATGCTTTCGTTTAACCTGAACGAAGTAACATAACCATGTAAGTGTGAAATAATGTCGCTAAAATCATCAAAATAACGAATATCGAATACTAAATTTGCAATAGTAAATAATGTCTCTAAAATCATCAAAATACCGAACATAGGGAGGTACCGTTATATGGAGGCTGTACAAAGACGTGGACCTGCACAGACAATTTTCCGTCTTAGGCTGCGGTATCCATGGTGGAGGGTATAATAACATTAAGTTCGTCCCGGTACAGAAGACATTTTTTTATAAAAGTAAGACCGTTTGCATAATACAGTAAAATGTAACAAAAAACCATAAGGTGAGTGAGGCCGTTATATGGGGCCATACCAAAACGGGTATCTCTATAACCATTTTTATAAGTCAAGGATTGTCATCTATCAATCTTCTAAAATACCAAATTTTAAACACTTATCGTTTTATGGGGGCTTTACCAAAACGTGGTCCTATACCTTCAATGTTTCGCCACACGAGCTAGAACTCATTATACCCAATACAATACCAATTTTTAGAAAAATCCGTGAAAAAATGTGGCAAAAATCATCAAAATTTCGAATATCGGGAGGTATCGTTATATGGGAGCTATACCAAAACGTGGACGTATACATACAATTTACGTTGCCTGTGAAACTAGAACCCATTATTACCTACATATGCCAATTTTTAGATAAATCCGTGGGAAAAATGTGGCGAAAATCATTAAAATACTGACTATCGGGAGGTACCGTTGTATGGCGGTTATACCAAAACGTGGACCGATATATCTCATTTTCAGTACCAATCATCCTAGACATAATACAAATTTTTCTACCAAATTTTGATGGTATAGGTCAAATAATGTGGGCTGTATCGTGATTTCAACAGACAGACAGACGGACATCGTTAAATCGACTTTTCGAATTTTATGCTGATTATTAATATATATACTTTATGGGGTCTACGAATATTTATACCTTTCCAAGGTGGAGGGTATAAAAATGTTGACGTTCCCATTATTTGAATTGTCATAACCAAGGTTTAAATTCTTGTTGGATTCAATGTTTCTGTTCCTGAACAATTTAATTATCTGACTCTGTCTTTGCCAATTTGACTAGCATACGTTTATGACTTACATGTATAATGTTACTTTCTATGAGTACTGAAGAATCTTCAAATGTGTTTATTTTACTTGGGACTCCAATTCATTCTTGTCTACCAACACATGCCGATTCAGTCCAAATTCAAATTTTAAAAGTCAACGAAATCTGATAGAAAATGAACGAGGGTTCTTCCAAATAATCTGATATTGAAACTCTCATCTTAAGGAGACAATGGATGTTTTAAAAACTGAGGTATCACTATATCCATGACCATGAAATTATTGTTTATATGAGCTATGACCTGAACTTCCATCGAATCCTCATTTTGAATACATAATGGTTCCTGCTAACCCTTAATGTGTTAAATTTCAAAAAACATATTTTTTGAAGGATTATCTGACGCTCAACAGTTTGAATTCAAAGATCTTGCAAAAGGATTGGAGCTGATGATTTTCACAATTTTATTGTCCCCTCCTTTGGATAACTTGCTGCACAGAAGTGAAGAAAGGAAATTTCTCCGAATCAGAATTTTGGACTACGTTATAGTGACTTCGAGATTACCTGGACTATAAGCGCTGCTTCTGGATTAATTTATATAAAGTTTTCATGTGGCATCTTATCTTTCTATTCGATGAAAAAGATTTTACATATTTAACAATTCTAAAGTCCCCTAAGTAGCATAACTGATGCTTTCTGTGCCTTACAAAATCGCGCATAACGTCCATTTTTTCATCTTTTTTATTTCAGATCGAGCTACTTGATTTTGTTTGTAAAGATTCACAATTAAATGAAGTTATAACCCTTTTGATTTCTGCTTTTAACGCATTAATTTCTAATAGCTCGTATTTTTAAGAATTTCATAAAGGTTTTCAGGTAGATGCCCCAACACTTGGGAACATTGAAATGTCAACAATTTTAAAATGATTTTTCAAAAATAAGCAGATTTTTATATGTTTTCTTATACGACGCCAATCGGAGGTTGTTACGATATACATTTCTTAACAATTTTGACAAATTTTCAATTTCAAAATTGGTTTGACTGCACCTGCGTCGATGCAGCCTCCTGTATTCTTCTACCATGCTACCTACTAAAAGTTATTAATTTTTTTTATATCTCCGTATAATAAATGAATTGAATCAATCAAATTTGGAATTTTTAAATTTGGCAACGGATGCTTAAAACCTACCTGCTAGGTACTAAAAGTTATGATATATATTTTTTTAAATGTCCGTATAATGGATGAATTGTACCAATTACAGGGTTGCCCATATTCGACGGACCCATGACTCTTTGGGCCCATCCCAATCGACGAGGCTTGTCCGGAGGCAACATTCTTTGCGTCAATTGAATTTTGTACGGGAACAAATGCAAATCAATGCAAATAATCCGTTGTGAAGTGGACCGAGCCATGTCCAACTGCTGAGAACGGCGTTTTTGGGATGTTCTTGGGGACCTCTCAACACTGGCTCGTACGGCAGCGATATTCTCTGCCGAGCGCCTTGGTCGACTTTTATATGGCCTCTTCGGATTAGAAACAGCCTTACCAGTCAAAAATTTTTCGTATAAACGCTTAATGGTGTTCTTAGAAGGCGCACTTCTCACATTTTTAATGTGTTAAAAGCACGTTGAGTTTTCACAATTGACTTCTTCTGTTGAATGTAAATTTAAAATATTTCAGAGCGCTCGCGTGGCGTGTATTGGTTCATGGTAAAAATCTGCTTGGACTGACGCTTCAAACGCGGTATGTCATTAAGCGATGTGACATCTTTGTCAAAAGTTATGACGTTGTCAGATGGGTCCGCCGAATATGGACAACCCTGTATTCAATCAAATTTGGAAAATTTAAACTTAGCAACTGATGCTTTAAAATGACATCATTTGAAGCCAAATAGTTGATCATTCCGGCTACAATTCGAGTTATATTGCAATATCTTATATTTGTTAAAACATTCAAGGAATTCGTCTGTTCATTGATTCTGACTACAATTCGGTCAAGATCAAAAATTGCGTTGGCTGTTGCATCCTCTGGCATTGCTGCCACTTTGTTGGAATGAGGTCGGACTAGACATTCTGCTTTGAAGCTTCCGAATGTTTGAGAAATGTATTTTTATACCCTCCACAATTCTATGGAGGGTTTGTCATTCCGTTTGTAACTCCTCGAAATATTCATAATAGACCCTACAAAGTCATAGTCAAAGACATAATAGACCCTATTCTGGATCAGCATAAAATTCTAGCTATCTCAATCTGTCTGTTGTAATCACGCTATCTTTCGAACGAATTGAGATAGATGGCTAATATTTTGCATACATGCATAGTTTACCAGTAGGCAAATTAAGATCGTAAATGGGTCATGTCGGTCCACGTTTTCGTATAGCCCCCATATAACTGTACCTCCCTATATTCAGTAGTTTCATGATTTTAGCGATATTATGTACCGGAATTTCGTATTTGAAGTCCGTAAGATTTACTACAGCCCGTGACAAACATTTTTGTATGCAAGTCCAAGTCTTCGTGTAGCCCCCATATAACGGTACCTCTCTATATTCGGTATTTTGATGACTTCAGCAACATTATTCACGAGAATCGTTTTAAATTTCGTACTGGAAGATCCTAATGGGTACTACAACCTATGGCAAAAAATGTTGTATGCAGGTCCAGATCTTCGTATAGCCCCCATACATCGGTACCTCCCGATATTCCGCATTTTCATGATTTTAGCGACATTATTCACCGGAATTTTTTCAAATTTCGTATATAAAGTTCGTAATGGGTACTACAGCCTGTAACCAAAAAATTTGTATTTTGACGATTTTAGCAACATTATACACTGGAATCGTTTTAAATTTTGTGCTGGAAGATCCTAATGGGTACTACAACCTATGGCAAAAAAGTTGTCTGCAGGTCCAGATCTTCGTATAGCCCCCATATAACAATACCTCCCAATATTCGGTATTTTGATGATTTTAGCGACATTATTCACCGTAATTGTTTTAAATTTGGTATTTGAAGTTCGAAATGTAATCACGCAATCTACAGCCTAAGGCAGAAAATTATCTGTGCAGATCCCCGTCTTCGTATAGGCCCCATACATCAGTACCTCCCTATATTCGGTATTTTGACGATTTTAGGTAAAATACCCAGCGAAATTGGTTGAGTTGTCGTAGATGCTACAGCCTGTGACAGAAAATTGTCTATGCTGGCCCAGGTCTTCGCACAGCTTCGATATAACGGTACCTCCGATATTTGGATGATTTTAACTACATTATTCACCGTTTATTTCAAGTTTCGAGTTTGAATATGGTAATGGCTTATGACAAACAATGCCTATGTAGGTCCACGTCGTATAGACCCCAATATAACGGCTATATTCGGTATTTTTAAAATTTTAACAGAATTATTATTAGGATTTTATTTTTGAAAAAAAAAAATTTGAAAATTTCCAAATTTGTTCCAAATGGTGGAGGGTATTCAAATTTCGTCCCGGCCGAAGTTACTGCTTTTTAACTTTTTTTTTTTTTTGAAAAATTTTAAGTTCCTTCGAAATTGTGGAGGGTATTAAAAGTTCGGCCCGGCCGAACTTGTTAAAGTTTATATATTTCTCTCTTCAGTTTGGGATATAGAGTCGGAAATTCACTGGCACTAATGGTCTATATATTAAGGCAAGCTGATTACATCCGAATCTAAATTATGAATTACTCATATGGAAAGGAAAACACATAAGTATTTTAATTTCAAAAGTGGCCGACTCTGGTTATGCGCAATCTACTTAATGAACCATGACCGATTCTTGTGATCGCTAGTTGTGATATGGTATTCAATTCTCACAAACTTTATTGTCGGAATGCATCATAATCACTCCCAGCTAAAAGTAATTGGAAAAACATTTTTAAATAATTGTTTTTACAAATTTTTAATCGCTCTCTACAAATCATTGCTTATATCGATAAAAGCTTTCACATCTGCCTTCCAATCGTTATATGCGGCAACTTTTAAATCGAAACGATACTCTCCGCGTGGCAATGGCAAATATTTAAAATTATTTTCATTTAATAATACATTTTTTACAATAATATCATGCTGAAAAAAGACGAATAAAATATATTAACACTTCCTCCATCACCACATAACCTCAAAACAATACTTACGTTATAGGGACACGTATGATTAATATTCGAATCATTGACAATAACGCGATGGAAAAGGTCAAGAAATGGATGTTTTCTGGGATTTTTTAAATATTTACACAAATCTACAGTGATGTTGTATAGAAATGGCTTATACCCGCTAAATTTTTTAAATAAAGCCAAATTAACCTGGAATTTGAGAAAATTGAATACTGTTATTTTTTCTTTCAGAAAATTGTAACAAATTCTCACTGAAATATTATTAACTGGCAACTGCCATAATTTCACATGGACATTTAAACCAATAACACCGCGGGCAATTACTTTGAGCTGACATTGCTGAAACGTGGCGAAGTCCGGATGAAAAGCTGCACATTTTATATTTGTAAAACGAACCGATGTATCGTAGATTTTAACGTAGACGGCCAGAAGTACTAATATCCACAACGACTTCATTTTGTCAAATGACCTTTGAAATGCAAACCCAATCGATGTTAACTTATATTTTTCAATTTTGTTTTGTCAAAAAAATAATTTCATTTAATGATATTATTAACAATAAAAATTGTAATTCTCGTTTGTTAATGCTCTGCTAACTAGAAACACAAAATGCAAAATAACAGCTAAACCAATGGAAAATTAGAAATGGATAATGAACACGCTGCACAGTGGGGCCAAATAAAAAGAAGATTTGAAAAGACTATTACCATCATCGATTCAAAAATATATACATAAGATATTTTTGAAAGCCCATCGTTCATTTTGCTCCGCTCCATCAAATCGTCGTTTGATAATTATTTTTTCACCTTTTGACTATGAATATAGGTGAAATTTATTTCAGTACACAGTGCATTAATTGTGTAGTCAATTAATGATTGTAAATTATTATCTAATTTCAAATCTTCAATTTCAATAATTTTGGACACTAAATTTTTTTGCAGATTTCCCTATCTTTAGGGAAAGCACACACCAATTTTTGCAAGATTACTGTTGAACCTACGGATCCAATCAATATCAGACCTGGTCCAGCACGTTCATCCATCATGGAATACCTGATCAGGCAACAGAAAGCACTAGGATACAAGCTTACCCAAATTCCACCAACTAAAAACCTTAAAGGTGAAAGTACCTAAAAAGCTTTTTTGGCTTCTACGTAGAGGAACAGAGGAGTTTTCGGTTGAATTAGTTCGGTTTCGGCCATAGGCTCCTTTGTTCATTTGCGAAAAAGCCAGCCGATGACTTTAGCCAGTAAGAAAATCGTTTTTTGCATTCTCACTTTAACATAGAAGACCTGTGAAAATTATGAACCATCGTCTCGAATTAACTGATATAAAATCCGCATGTATATTATCCTCCTCCACCATGGAACGTGGCGTCGGAGCTTTAGATTTAAGTAAATAAAATCGAGCTTAAATACAATAAATTTCACAGTATTATACATGCTAGAATTAAGGTGGTAAAGTCATTTTAAATAAGCATATCCATCTCTGCAATTTTCCGTTATTTACTTCGTCAAATTTCACTGCCTGTGAAACAGGTTGCCATTCCCGATTTATAAATATACATTTTACTATTGAGATGTTATCAGATTTTGAAAAAAGTGTGAACGTATGAAATGGAAATACGAAAACTGAACCTCAGCTGTTAGAAATACATTAAATTGCTACACAAAATATCTTGACGGCGCCATTTTAGATATTGTCAATTCGACGTAAAAGGGATGTTCGCATTTAGGGTGGGAATACAAAAATAAGTGGGAATAAGGCTGGAAATACATGAAGCGCATATTTGGCTGGCTTAAGTCATCGGCTGGCTTCTTCGTTGACCACCAAAAAAATTTGTGCTTTATGTATTCCCACCCTTAGTTTGAGACGCGTTTGAATAATACAGGTAGTCGCATCGACACAGCCGCAAGAACAATTTCAATTCAACAACAATTCAAACCAATTTTGAATGAAAAACCAGTAAGGAAAGCTCAAAAGTCGGGCGGGGCCGACTATATGATACCCTACACCACTATGCATATTTAGTAGAGCTCTCGTAAAAAGGTTTATACAGGGCATTTCAGAGCTCTATGAGATATTTGGAACAAAATCAAAATCTATCGTGCATTTTACGAACTATAGCTATCTTTGAACCGGGTTTCTCCAAATTTGACGTATTAGCTTCTAGACTGAATTCGGTCTTATGTACGAAAATTCAGGTGATTTAGGCTGATATTGGCCATTTGTTGCACAATTAACACGAAATCGGATGAAGATACATATGGGTGCTATATCCAAATCTGAACAGATTTTGATAAAATTAAAATCGACTATTTTTGGGCTTTATCTGATATCTGGTACCAAATATTATTCCTGTGAAGAGTATATTACGAATGTAAGGGACTTAAAGAGCAAATCGGATGAAACATATATATGGGAGCTAGATCTATATCTGAACCGATTTTTACTAAAATTTGTGTACTTGCTTATAGGCTGGTTTCGGTCGGATTTGCCAAAATTCAGGTAATTTGGGCTGATATTGGCCATTCGATGCACAATTAACACGAAATCAGATGAAGATACATATGGGTGCTATATCCAAATCTGAACAGATTTTGATAAAATTACAAACAGCTATTTCTGGGCTTTATCTGATATCTGGTACCAAATATTATTCCTGTGAAGAGTATATTACGAATGTGAGAGGCTTAAAGATCAAATCGGATGAAATATATATATATGGGAGCTATAGCTATATCTGAACCGATTTTCTCCAAATTTGATATACTTGCTTCTAGGCCGAACTCGGTTGGGTGTGCCAAAATTCAGGTAATTTGGACTGATAGTGGACATTTGGTGCACATTTAACCCGAAATCGGATGAAGATATATATGGGAGCTATATCCAAATCTGAACCGATTTCGATAAAATTTAAAACAGCTATTTCTGTGCTCCATCTAATAGCTGATACCAAATATCACGGTTGTGGAGTGCATAGTAGGAATGTGAGGGACTTAAAGATCAAATCGGATGAAAGATATATATGGGAGCTATAGCTATATCTGAACCGATTTCCTCCAAATTTGATATACTTGCTTCTAGGCTGAACTCGGTTGGGTGTGCCAAAATTCAGGTAATTTGGACTGATAGTGGACATTTGGTGCACATTTAACCCGAAATCGGATGAAGATATATATGGGAGCTATATCTAAATTTGATTCGATTCTCACCAATTTCAATAGGGTTCGTCCTTGGGCCAAAAAAATATTGTTTGGAAAATTTCATCTCAATCGGATAATAAATGCGACCTGCATTTTGTTCACAAGAATACATGGACAGACGGACGGACGGACGGACGGACAGACGGACTGACATGCATAAATCGACTTAGAAAGTGATTCTATGAAGGTTCTCAAAAGTAACTATGGGTCTATCTCGTTTCCTTCTCCATGTTACAAACAAATGCACAAAGACATAATACCCTTACCACTATGTGGTGTAGGGTATAAATATTCAAAATCGTTAAAATTGTTGAAAATGCATATAATAAGAACTTCCGACTGGCATCGTATAAGAAAACAAGTAAGCAAAGGCTACAGTCGAGCGGGGCCGACCGTTGAATACCCTACAACACTACAATAAACGATACAGTGTATATAGGCGAGATACTCGAAAGAATTCCACAAGATATTGTGACAAATAATAAAAGAAAACCATCAGGTTTCGTTCTCTAATTTTCGAATAATAGCAACTTTAACTAATTTGCTCATTTCCAATTTATTTGTAGATGTTGCACGTAAATGGTCTTCCTAGATCTGAAACCAATATTTCCCAAAGACCTATAATCTCTCAGAAGTGGCAAAAGATTAACATTTATTATTGGTTTTTGACTGAAACGCATCTATATGAGATACAGACATTTGACTAAATTCTGCAACGAAATCGGCGTTAACGAAATAGTCAGAAGTGCGTCTTTCCAGTATTTGTGAATTCTCCAAAAAGTCACTAGAATGGACATTTTCTTATTTTGTCTACAAAAGTTGGCAAACTATTTCACACATTGAATATTTTTGGATGGCCATCCAAAACTGCTTGGCTTTTGCAATGGCCGGTAACACCCATTCAAATGTGCGTGAGGATCGGGCGATAATTACGACCTGCTGACAATTTTGAAGTTTTGTTGGTCCATTTCAACCGCTAAATATATGGCGATCATCTCCAAAAAGAGTAGGCTTCTATTCTGACCCTCATTTTATCCCCATGCAAAATTTCGTAAGGATCGGGCCATAAATGCGATCTGTATATGATATCTTGCTATCCTAACTACTTAGTTTTGTTAGCTGTAGAAATATTACCAAATGTTTAATTCAAAATGAAAATATGCCAAAAATATGACAAAAATTGAAAAAATATGAGAAAATTTTACAAAATCAATATTTTCATCTTTAGAAAGATATTTTTATGCGATTTTTTTAGACGTTTTTTCTTTCCTGCCAAGAGGCCATTCTGAATTAATGATTCTGTCGAAATCAGTTCAGCCGTTCTCGACATATAAGAGATCTTTCAAACATATCTTCTTTAATAGACATATATATCGCACATATCTTGCTATACATTCGATTTGTTGGATTTAAAATATTCGCGGTTTAATGAAAAATTTTGAATTTTTTCAACAAAAAATATATGGTCTATTTTAGACGCTAAATATTATCCGATGACCACCCAAATTGGAAGGCTTCTTCCACGCCCTAAACTCTAGCTACATGCGAAATTCCGCGTCGATTGGTCTATAATTGCGGTCTGTATAGCTACTGCAAAATCCGACATTTTTTCAGTATTTGGTCCATTTCAACCCCTAAACCTTTGGCGATCATCTCCAAAAGAAATAGGGTTCTATTCTGACATTAACCCCACCTACATTTTAAATTTCGTGAAGATCGGGCATTAATTGCGACCTGTAGAGTGATTACAAATTAACATGGACAGACGGACAGACGGACAGACGGACGGACGGACATACATAGCTAGATCGACTCAGCTCGGCGAGCTAGGAAGATCCATATATACTTTCCTATATGGGAAACCAATATTTCGAGGTGTTACATAAATTCTGGCCCAATCAAACTTATAATACCCCCAACACATAGTGTTGTAGGGTATAAAAATAAAAATCTACTTATTTTTAAATAACATTTAAAATTTTTTGACTTAGCAATGTCCCCAAGCGTTGATGCATCTACCTGTATATTTCTTCCATGGTTTAATGGAAGTAGGTACATATTAAAAAATATATATTTTTTTAATTTTTAACGAAAATTTTGATTTATGCTTTTTGGAATTATAGACATATTTTTGCACGAAAATTTGAGGACGATGCTTTTTATTGGCGGTTGAGTAGAACAACGACTTTTACTTGACAATTCATTTTCTAATTCGATTTTCTTTTTTAAAGCTAACTTCATTATGATATACATACTATTTTTATAGCACCTATATAATTCATTGTACACTTATATTAATTTTAAACATTAATTTATATTATTAATTATTTTATATTAATTTTAAATTAATTAAATTAAAAATCATAATTCGAC